ATTGGAAGCTGCGAAACTGCTTTCTGAAACTCTGGATAATGTTTACTCTTTTCTGTGGCCAGTGTTAAGTTGGCAATGTATGTCTGTATTTTGCTTGTGCTGGAGGTAATGTCTTCGATGTATTGGGAGAGGGTCGCGTCCGGAAACGCGGCGAGCTGGGCCTGGTCGACGAGCAGATGGTCCATGACGGGGCGCATCTCTTCCCATTCGTCCACAATACAGCGTGCTTCAGCGGGTTGGATGTCCTTGTAGTTCATCTTGCTTGATGTGTTGGGTTACCTAAACGCAAAATGAATCTTGGCTGTAAAAAGGCCAAAACGCCCTCGAAGACATCGAAGCAACTGGAAAGTAAACTCGCAGAGTGAAAGCAGTGCAAGCAGTAGTACGTCCTGATGTTAGCAAGGCCAACATAATTCAACAATGAATGAAATGAGCACAATTCACAAATGGATGCGTGAAGCATTTCAGAAACGAATTGCGACACGGAAAGAAAATGAGAGAATCGCGTACAAATCGATGAATATTCAATGGTTTAGGCCAAAATTAGGTAACTGCGACGCGCACGCATCGCACCGTCAATTGGATTGTACGTACAGGCCGACCAAAGAAAATCCTTCAACTTATACGCCTTCAAGCTACCCAAAACGCGATAGAAATGCGTAGGGCAGCATACTCATCCATCCACCTGTGAAAAGCCGTTCAAAACAACCATTTGAAGAATCTGAGTGTAATTTCCAAGCGGCTGTAGTTCGGAAGGAACTAGAAATTGAAAGTCTGTAGTGCTGGACAGTTCGAGAACTGTTTGTGATGTGTGTACTGTGCGAATCTTGAACGGATGGCCGGCGTCTTCATCAACAATCATCTCAGGAAGAGCTGTTTGTATGCCGACGCTTCGTGGTTCCTGGGCTGGGTCAAGAAACAACAAGGGAAAACGATTTTCTTCCGAATACTACATATCAAAAACTGTAAACAGCCAATGATAGAAGTAATCTTCCGAAAAATCGTAAACCCAAACCTGTTTGCATTCCTGAGCGGGGCTGCACGGGCGTAACGTCCTCTGGCTATGCGCATAGCACGGGGCAGCGAGCAACTCCATCAGCAAGAATTGACCAGCGAAGAAACGACCGCAACTGCTTCTTTCTTGGGAATGTTGACCGCCTAAAAAAGAAGTTGCAGAGACTGGTTGTGAAAATCCGGAACAGGAAGACTGGAAATACCCATTCAAGGGCCTGGAGGGAAGACTGTGAAAACTCTTCTGTTTTCAGACATCGTCTCTTCTTTCTTGCGCTCTGTTTGTTTCTTCAATTCATCCGTGTGTTACTGAGCGGCGTCCCGCTGGTGGCTCTCGTAGCTGGGCCAATTGGATTTCTTCGATACAGCAATTCCTGGAAAAAAAGTAAAAACGATCCTCCTTTCCTCCGCTACTCCTCTGGCTGTAACACCGCGTAGAGCTGTATATCCACAGACTCGTTACCGCTTAATGTAAACACCCGGCCATATGCTGATGGCCAGTGTGCGCCCGAGCGTCAATAGTGCCAGTGCCCATTGGAGTAACGGAGTGCCTCGGGGCTGAAAGTCGCCGGTGGCCGCCGACTGGTCGTTGATCCATTTCTTCTGGGTTCCGTTGGACTGGAAAAATTGCCTTCTAGTTGACAATTAAAGTGCTGATCTGGGAAACCAATGGTTTCGTAGTGCTGCCTGGTCTGTATGTAAAACTCTAAAAAAAATTAGAGAAAGGAAAACAAATAAACCAAAACAAAAAGTGAAAAGTGGAAAGTAGCAAAAGCAAGGGATCTCGACCTGGGTTCTATCTCATACGGCCGACGCACCATGTCGAAAAGGAATAGCAATTCCGCACTATTAGGAATAAATCCCAATAATGCCCACGCGAGGAACTTGCCACCTATTCCTCCTACGACCCTCAACGCATCCCCTAACACGGGTAGCCGGATCAGCGGAGGTCTGTAAGACTAATTTAGGCCTCTGAGAAGACCCTGCAGACCATGAATAAGATCCCATGCGATTACCACTGATAAGAGACTTGTAGATAGGAAAGGTTTATTAGTATAGATAAAAGAGGCAGCACTGAATGTAATAACACGAGATCCAAGGGTAACACTGGGAGTAAAAGAGGAACGATTAGAGGCTCAATGGGAAAAGAGAGGGCTGGTTGGAAGAGTATTCAAGCCTAGCCAATCAAGCACAGGAAGTGGCATTAGCCAACAACCTTACCGAAATAACCAAACCAATCGGTGCAACGACTGGCGGCAACGACTCCCTTTCGGGAAGAAGTTGGCGGTAAATTGGCAATAAATCGGCGCCCTCTTGGGCTCCCCCCTACCGTAGGCGGCGGGGAGAGGAGCGCGGGATAGCAAGCCACCCCCGGGGTCCCCCAATGCGAATAAATCTCGTAAGTCCTGTACTTTGTACAGAACTTTCGACAAAAAGCTCGAATTGGGCTCCCGTCCACTTCATTAGCCAGCCGATGATGGGGGTGACAAGGGCGGGACACGGCTTTGAATTGTGTCCTTGTGAAGCCGTAAAAGGCTTCGTGACGCTGGCTGGCAGATTTTAAAGAGACAACGACAGGGGACAACGACAGGCGGATAGGAAAGCGGCCGGCAGCTGAAGCTTTGAGGCTCAGAACTCGACATAGAAAGCGAGAGAGAGTTAGAGAGCGAGAGAGAGAGAGCGAGTAGCGAGATAGAATAAAAGCGAGAGAAGTTCTTACAATTACGTAACGTTCGTAACGTAACGTAATTACGTTCTCTTATTTTCCAGTTTACAGTGACGAAGGCTTTTTGGGTCCGGGGATTACTCAGAAAAACAAAACAAACGCGTGAATCTAGGAGCAGCTCCCACGCCCGGAGTTCATTCGCTGAATATTGATGAGCTCGAGCGGTTGATCCTGCCAGTATTGAGTCACCAGACCATCCCAGGAAGAGACGAACCAAAAAGGGGTTTAAAAAGTTTGCTGAGGTTTGCTGGGAGAACTGGGTTAGCTTGCGTTTGTACCAGCTTCTGAAAAACAAAAAATAAATGATCGTGGGCTTGTTCGAAAAATAATTCGGCTCGAATCCGAGAGTGTTACTTCTAGTCAGCTGCCTTTCCACAAGGATCTCTGCCAGCCTGCCCCCAGTGGTGATTTTTCTCCTCTAACGTGCCAAGAGAAACCCTGTCCAGCTTCAGAAAATTCAGGGTTTGATTCAAAATCTCAGATCTCCAAAAAGACCATAAATCCGTGAAGCCATAAGTGCCCCCAATAGGGCCCAGCCGTGTGGAACGGATGGGTCAGAACGAGGCGGTTATGAAGTGTTTGTGCCGTGTGTACACGTCCAGTCTTCCTCAGCTTCCCAGCTTCACATCCCTTCGGGGGCCCACTACAGGGCCCACCAGGTCGAGTGCATGTGAATCAAGCTCTTCAGGGCCGTCAACCAGAGTGCCCTATGGCTATGGGATGGTACAGTGGAAAAGCGGATGCGACGGTTTAAGGGGGTATTGGCTGTGGAAATATACTCTTTGGAATGCTGGCATCGACAAATTCGTGCAAATACAAATGTTGGTTCTTTAGGATTTCCGGGAAGTATTTCCGGGGGGGAACCAAATTTTTCCTGTTTTTCCCGGTTGACCTAGTAAACAAATATAAAGTGTGTTCCCATTGTTTTTAGTAAATTTTAACTATATTTAAAGTAGACAAAACCTTTCAAAAAAGTTAGAAAAATGTTTGAAAAAGTCGAAAATTGGTCATTTTGGGTCTTTCCCCCCGCTAATCCTAAAGGTTCTATAGGATTTTCCGACCTAAAATTAAATTTTTTAATTAAAATGTGGGTAGTTTTTATGCTCAGGAATAGTTAAAAACCATTTAGAAACGCATGCGCTATTTAGAAAAAAATTTAGGAATGGGCCCAAAAAAATTTGGTTTCCCCGGAAATACTTCCCCGGAAATCCTAAAGAACCCAAATGTTTATAGGTGCGTCTTGCTAATTGTCGAGATGCGGTCGATGAAAGGACGAATTTTAGTTGATACCAGTTCCCTTAAAAAAGTGGAAAAGGCACGGATGCGGATTGCCTATGGATTTTGCCGCGATTCGTATCGATTCGTAGCAATTCGTTGAGCAAAAAAAATGCATGTTTTATCTTATTTTCAAAGCGTTTACTGCAGATAACAAGTGGAGACAATTGGGAATTATGGGAATTTTGTGATTTCTTTTAATTTCTCTAAAATCGCGATCTCTGTTGAACTCTCGGCTCGAAGAAGTCGATTTTTTAATAGCTCAAAACTTTCGTTCCGCTCGATTTGATAAGAAAATTCCGATCCCTCGTAAAGGTAAATATTTGAGCCTGTTATTTGGTTCTCGCTTGCAAGGACTGTGGAATTTGCATAAATTTAGCTTTTGGTTTGTCACATGTGTGGTTTTTGATGGTTGTTTTGCGTATTGATGGAGTCAATGAAATTGGTGGTTTTTTAAATTACTGGAAGAATTTTTGAATTTTTTGAGTCTTTTAATCAACCATTTTTGCGTAAAGTATTTTGTATCAAAATCTGAAAACTTCTAAAGGTTCAGTCAAGGGAAATCTGGCTTTTCCATAGGTCCATATCATTAATGCGTAAACTTATAGCTAAAAGTTCTATTCTACTTTTTTAAAGTTTTGAAAGCTTTTAAACCTTAAAAAGACACAATAAAGACTTTCCTAAATTGCAATTAATGTGTAAAAATCTCGTTTTAAAGGAGCTGTGAAGGGAAGATATTGCTAACCCGCTATTTTCCGATCTAAAAATGGACACACGATTATCAAGAATTTCCAAGAATTAATGATATCACCCAGATTCCTATAGTCTCAACTTTTGCACGAGCAGACTTCAAAATTTGCTATATTAGGGGGTGCAAAAATTCGGGGGTGATTTGTCATTGCCAGTGATCTGGGGTCTCCCTCTTCCAGAGTTTTTCCCCGCCAACACGATAAGCCATTTCCAGGGCCCCCCTTTCCATTCTCTTCAGATGTTGGCTGTGCCAATTATAGTCTTTCTGGGGGTCGGCTGTTGTTTGGTCGATGCCGTAACGGTCACTACAAAATTAGGCGATGTCCAGGTTTGTTAAAAAAATTATTAAAATCATATATTGCGTTGCCAGTCCCTTTAATGGATTTTTCCTAAAGGACCATATATACCACTATTAATACCTTTAATATTAAAGCGAGTTTAAAGGGTCAGACAAGGCAAAATAAGCATAACGATAATTTTCTAGATTATTGGAAATTCTTTTGCCTTCCCCGTCCCTTTAAAACCCTAGCACTAACGTCTGCGTAAACCTTGCGTGTCCCTTTAAATTTAAGCCTTCAGCGCACCTTTATCCGATAAAGTTGAGCACCAATTAAAACTTCTCCAGGGTTTCCACGTCGACTACACGAATGAACAGTCCAAAATCTACCGCGGTGCGGGCGATATATTCCTTGGCATCCCCTATGTACAGCCCCCACTTGGAGCACTACGATTTGCGGTGGGTATACGATAGTTGTAGCAAATTTCAGTCCACTTTTAGGCTCCGGCAGCTTTGAATAAACTGCCGAATTCTCCGTGGGACGCTACATATTTCCGGTAAGGTTTCGTAAAATTATTTAAAGATACCGGGAGGGCAAATCAAGGGGCAGGCTAGCAGAGAACACTGCGGAAACGGCGAAAACCACAACTAGCAGAGTTCCTTTGAGATTTGCCTTAAGTGAGCCAGGCCTTCCTCAGCCTTCATGATCCCTGAAAATCAAAAATTCAGATCGCCCTGCTCGCAGTCGTTGCAGCCGTGCGGATTCAACAGTACACCGTCATCTGAGGATTGCTTGTATTTAAATGTATTTTCGCCAGATGTTGGTGTTTTTACGGTTTTAAAGGAACATCGAAGGCAAAATGTGGCCCTTGTCATTCAATATTTAATCGATTTTTTCCAGGTGAAAACAGCGACCCCATTCCCAGTGATGGTATGGATCCACGGCGGGTCATTCCAATCCGGATGCGCTCAACAGTACCCGTATAAGGTATACTAAAATTTTATCGTATTAAAATAACGTATCACGGCTAACTTAACTCGCTCATAAAGTATAAATTTAATTTGATCAATTCTATGATTTTTTTTTTCTAGGGTGGCGTCAGTTCGTTTGTTTCCAGAGGCGTTGTCGTCGTCACCATACAGTATCGTCTCGGCTTCTGGGGTACGGATAGGGGTGGGGGAATTCGAAGAAACACCGGCTAAACAAGAAACATTTTCGAGGAATTTCGATGAAGCCTAAGGCAGACTAGCAGCGGTTTTTGACGAATTTATGGAAAGTTTAGAACTTCAGGATAGCTAGCAAGCGACTTTATCCGGGCAGATAGCAAAGATTTTTGAAAAATAGCACAGGTTTAAACGGGGGTTTTGTGCAGTAAAACTCCTTTGAAAATCGCAAGAATGCTTTTTAGGTTTCTTCACGACCGGATCGAACGAATTCCCCGCAAATCGCGGTATGCTGGATCAGGTAAGAAATTTTATTGTGATTTATATATTTTCGAAAATACAGAAAACATCGTTTTAGGTCGCTGCCCTCCGCTGGGTGCAAGATCATATCCGGGATTTTGGTGGTGACCCAACGAAGGTCACGATTTTTGGGGAATCTGCTGGAGCGGCTTCCGTTTCCGCGTTGACCTATTCGCCAATGGCACAATGTGAGTCTCTCTCTGGCTCTCTCTCGATCTATTTATCTCGCTCTCTCCCTTTCTCTATCTTTAAAAATATCTATTGTTTTTAGCCCTTTTCTCACAAGCCATTCAAGAATCTGGAGCCACAGAAACTTGCCTGAACACTGACAACAAGTTGAGCATCGACGCGGCTAGTAAGGTCAGTTAGCTAGAGAGTTATGGAATTTCCTCAAGGTTCTCTGCAAGATTACCACAAGATTCAAGCGTGAGTTTTTAGCTGTGCGGCTTCACGGGGAACGATTGGAGCGGCAAGGACTGGCAGAAAATGACAAATTGTGTGCAGAACAAATCAGCCGTCGACATATTGAAATCGGTCGATATGGTAAGTTTCTAAAATATTTAAAGGGCTTGACAAGGCCCAAAATCGACCCTAGCTTTACACCGGGTCCCGAAAAATAATTCACCGTCCATACGCGTAACGACACTTTAAAATTAATTCGAAAACTAAGCATCATTTGACAACTTTTGTAGCTGTCAACACCCTGTCGATCAAAGGAGCCGATTTTGCAACTTTCGCATCCCTTTAAAACAACGATTTCAGGCCTGGAATATGGTATACGATACCCAATTCCTCCCGGATACTCTTGAAAACCTCGGCAAGACACGGAAGAATTTCCCCTCGCTGATTGGGGTGATGCGGGATGAGTGGAGCTATTTTGGTATGGTAATCGTTTGTAGTCTATAGTCCGTAGCTGTCCGTGGTTTGTAGCCTAAAATCAGTGTAGTGTCTGTATTTTGTAGCTGCTGCGTTGCTTAGCATCGATTTTTAAGAACTTTTTTAGTGCTTGGAAAGCTGCGTACCCAGGAGCTGTTTCTGTCGAATATGACTCGTGGATTTATCGAATATACCTTTAACTTTGATCATACTTATATGGGTGATAAGGAGGGAGAGGTGATGCAGATGCTCGAAAAGGTATCAAAACCTTAAAGCCATGAAAACTATAGAATTTAGGTCTATCACCCGACCACTATAGCTGACGATGACTATGTTGGATGGGTGAAGCTGGCTAGTGATGTAAGGATTTTCAGGCTTTCTCTCTCACTTGCTCACTCTCGCTCGTTTGCTCTCTCTCTCTCTCACCTCGCACTCTCGCTCTCTTGCTCTTTCTCACTTTCTTTCCAAAACGATAACCTAATTTGAACTTTAGATGTACTCCGGACAATTCTTTGGAGGCCCAATGCAGCGAGATGTGGATCGATATTGGGCCAAGGGGGAATAAGGACGTTTTCCTCTGGGAGCACGACTATTCCAGCAACGTTGGAAGGATCTTTTCGTTGCCCGGGTGGACTCGTGAGTTTCAAGAGTTCGGTCTCGATTTTCTAGCTGTCACTGTCCCTTTAAAAAATGGAAAAATCATTGCAAATTTTAGCTGTTCCCCACTGCTCCGAGTTGTTCTTCATGTGGTTGCCCGACGGCGAGTGGGCCAGAGCTGAACAGGCGAATGAGGTGGGAGAGAACAGAGGGAGAGACAGAGAGCTAGAGAGGGAGAGAGAGAGAGAGATAGAGAGATAGAGATCTTCCTGTTTTTCAGGTAATCCAATTCGACTACGACGTCGCCAACTTTTATGCAGATTCCTGGACGAATTTCGCCAAAAATGGGTATCATTCTAAGGCTTGCCTTTTCTACCGTACCCTAGAAAACCGATGGGAAATCAATGGGAAGCCGTGGAGCCGATGTTGAATCGCTATTGGAGGATATCACCGGATGGGATGAGGATGGCCGATGGATGGAGACAGGTCGACTCGACTATGTGGAATAAGGTACGATAGAGTACGCTAGTACGGTAAACTGTAGCTACAGTAAGACACATAATTGTTTTCTAAATAAGCTGATTTTTGGGCAATATAACAATTATTATAACTTTATCTTAAACAACCAAATTTCCAGGTGATCCCATCAATTCTCAGCCAACAGTCCAATGTTGCGACGACGGCGAGAAGTCCGGCTACGACTACGCAAGGCTCCGCTGCCTTGAGTTATACTTGCATAATTGTACTTTTACTGGTTTTGCTTTTATATTAGGAGTTGGAGTCGATAGCATAAATTGATTTTGATGTGAGCCAAAATGCCAAATAGAGAATCGGAGAAGAAAGAGAGAGCGAGAGAGAGAGAGAGCGAGAGAAAGAGAAAGAGAGAGAGAGAGAGAGAGAGAGAGAGATAGAGAAAATGTCGCAACTAATTGTTTCCAATCTCCGGGCAAATCCATTAACACCTCAAATACCTCAAATATGTCGGTCCGTCCCTTGCTTTCGGACAACAATTCTCGGCGGGACCCTCCCAGCGCAAAGTTTCCCAATCCTACCTTTTCATGGGAGAGAGGGAGAGCGAGCGAGAGCGAGACTGAGCGCCAAAAAAAAACGAGAAATTCGTCAGCCCGGCCGGTCGAATGTTCCGGGCCGCCATTGACGGGAGAACTGTTTTCCGGCCCACCCTTGGATGAGATCGGCATCGGACCCCCAAAAAATTCGAGAGTTTGCTACGGGGCTACGAAGTCGGAAAGTATGGTATTGAGGTGCCGTATAGTGACGGAATTGGCAAAGATATACCGTTACTTTAGCGGCCCCTGAAAATTGATTTCCGGTCCCCAGCTATATACGCTTCCGGCGACCTCGTGAAATTCGGTTGTCCCCTCACCTCAATAAACACAGTTTGGGGGTCAGATGGTAGAGCGAAGAGAGAGAGAGAGCGAGAGGGAGAGAGAGTAAGCGAGAGATATATATAGAGGGAGATCTGGAGTGCTGTTTGCCGTGTGCACAGCCTCAAATATACAGAAAGACCTCACTTTCGGCCCTCGTCTCTCTCTCTCTCTCTCTCTCGCTCTCTCTCTCTCTCTCTCTCTCCATCCGATGAATCGATTTCTTTGCTCTTTTCACAGCGTGTATGCCATCCCCCTGCTGAACCCGTGCTCAAACAATTTTTGAACCCCGTGGTGTCTGTGTGGACTCGGTTGACGGGTGGATTCGGGCCCTTGCGTCAGACGGTCAATCTGAGTGAACTGGGGAAAAACTAAAAGTTCTAAGAGTTTAGCTTTTGTGGGACACAAGAATCTAGGTCTCTAATCATCCCTAGGAATCCCTGCTGGTTTGCCTAACCGCTTCCAATTTCCGAAAGAATTCCGTTTTTTACGGCGTTTTTTTTTGGGGCCCTGTCGTCTGCAAGGTCTAATCGTGATATATGTCGCTCACGACCTTTGCCAGCCTGTCTTTGGTTTTTAAAAGCCTGATGGCTTTAATAATGAAAGCCATTAAGAACCTATACTGGACGTTTGCTGCTAGCATGTCTTAAAAGTTGTCTTTAGATGCCATTTACATTTTCACTTTTTTAATGGTCCACGCGGATTGTACAGCTCGGCGGGCCGAAACGGCGCCGCCAGGCCATATAGGCCCATCAAATATGAGGTGGCGTTTGTTGGTCGGTCCACATTGGGGACTCTATTAGCTGAGAGAGAAAGAGAGAGAGAGAGAGAGAGAGAGAGAGAGAAACAGAGAGAGAGAGAGAGAGGGAGAGAGAGAGAGAAACAGAGAGAGAGAGAGAGAGAGAGAAACAGAGAGAGAGAGAGAGAGAGAGAGAGAGAGAGAGAGAGAGAAACAGAGAGAGAGAGAGAGAGAGAGAGAGAGAGAAACAGAGAGAGAGAGAAAGAGAGAGAGAGAGAGAGAGAGAGAGCGAGAGAGAGAGAGAGAGAGAGCGAGAGAGCGAGAGAGACCGACCGATTTACCAAACGGACCAAGGAAGAGAAGACGTTACGAGTTGCTATTGATGATCGTGAGAAGCCCCAATTTAAGGCAAGCTAGCGGAGATCAATAGAGAACGGGAAATTACCCAACCCCCGTCCATAAAACCAGTTTTTCCATTTTTTTCGGCTTTTTTCTTCTGGGTGATGGGTGGGTGAAAGTTATAAATTCCCCACTGAAAGCTCGCCCCTTCAAATGCTTTCAACCAACACAACAGAGAGAGAGAGTGAGAGAGAGAGAGAGAGAGAGAGAGAGCGAGAGAGGGGGGGAGACGTCCTCCCCCTATAGCGATAAGATGGATGGGAATCGATGCAAAAACGTGATACTGTCACGCGCTGCGCCCTCAGCCTGAAATTCCGAAAAAAAGTTGGTGCAGGCTAGCAAAGATTTTTAGGGGATTCTGTTCCATTCTACGATTACAGCGTTAGTTTTGCGTATTTTCTAAGGCGCAATCAGTTTTTACCAAGTCACCAATTTGACTGTAGTGACATCTTGTAGTTTGTAATTCTGCTTTTTATCTATGTTGTAGTGCAAATTCCACGTCTTAACTATGAACAAAATTCATTCATAAACCTTATATACATGCCGAAAGGAGGACGGGGGTCGTGTAGCGAATTTCGGGACGGGGGCCAGGGGAGAGAGAAAAACATCACAATATTCGCAAATATCCTATAAAAAATGTAAAATTAATTTTAAGAAAAAGTGTTGTTTTTGTAGCTTAAGAATTAAGAAAATTATAGCAAAACGCGGATGAGGAGGCTACCCAGAAAGAAGCGACAACAAAATTCGAACGTTAAAAAGGAGGGGGCAAAGCCGAATTGTTGAAGCTGGCGGACGAACAGACTTGGGCTTAGGCTTAGGCTTAGGCTTAGGCTTAGGCCTAGACTTAAGCCCATGCAAAACAGACTCACAGACAAATATCCAAATCACGGCTGGGCGGGCGGTATATACGTGCATGCAAATTGACACAGGGTGGCAGGGGCGATGAGGAGGGGATCGCAAAAATGACAATTCCCCCCACAGCACCCCCGGAAATGACAATCAAATGACCACATCAATGAATAGAAAAGAGGCAACGGTTTTTGAGGGGTTTTGGGGGAGGTGGCTTGCCCCCGAGGAACTTCCGGCATACCGTGGAAACCCGAAAAAGAATCGATTTTTCCACGCGATCCCGGAAATTCCGGGGGCCCCTGACGGTGTGGTTGGCTAAATTGGAAAAACCTAGAGGCTGTCTAGCGATTTTTGGGGGACTGTAATTTGCATAAAAGGGTTGGAGAACCCCCCAAAAATCACTAGACCGAAAAAGAACTGGGTTTTTTGACCATTAGTACGGGGAAACGGGAGAGAATCGTTGTGTATCTGAGTATATCTGGGGAGAACTGGGCGGGCTTTTGCATATCAGAAGCTTTTTTCCTTCAAATTGTGGATTTGACTTCACTGTCCCTTTAAAATCGATTTTTGCGAATATTTTGTGCAATTTGAATCAAAGAATCGAATCGACAGCAGTAGAAATGGACTAGAATTTTTTCTAAAAAAGCGTAAAAATTATTTTAGGCCTGGTTAGCCTTCTTAAAGGGGAGAGGAAGTCAATAATAGGAAAAATAAATTTTTAAGTTTGATCTAACTTAAAAAATGTGATCAATGTTAAAAACCGCTTTAAAGAGACCAGGAAGTCAAAAAATCCATAGAATTCACTAGAAAATTTGCATCTTTAGGTCAACCAGCTTTAAAGGGCCATTGAAGCCTTGCAAATTCCGCCCAGTTCCTATCTACAGCCAACAAAAAAAAAAAAGAAGCGGGGGTGAAGCGGTAAATTCTGTCGTTTTTACGTCGAGTACTTGTAGTGTACGGTGGAGCGTAGTGTACGCAATTTACAGGTGCCTAATAGGAGGTGGTAGATGAGGGGGAAGAGGGCTCCGACCAGAAAGCTTCATTCAAAAAAATGTGTGAAAATTCGGCGATGACGGGAAGGCGCTTTAGATTCTCTGGATCTTGTCGGAGACGACGACCGGATTGTTCTTACGCAGCTCCTCCCTCTCCATTGTTTTGTAGTCGAATGTACAGTTGTGGGCCAGATCATAGCGATGTTCAGAGCAATAGAGACCACCGCAACGGCATGGGAAGCCGGTCAATCCGACACGTTTGTTGCACGAATGGCATCGATTCGCCTTTTTCGTGGAGGTAGATGGGGCTGGGGAGGTATCGGCTGAGCCGGAGGAGGCGTCGAGCTGAAAAAAGTGGCTTTGTAAACTGGCATTTACATTTTAAAATTATTATAAAACCTTGTTTTAATTTTTAATCACTCCAACTCGATAAAAAATAAGTTAAGCTGAAGAATGTTAAAGCCCGTTTCCAAATTGATTTTCCGAGCCATAAAACGCAATAAAAACCAAGTTTAAGCTGAAAAATCATTGAAAACTCGCTTTTTTCGTTTTTTGGAGATCTAAGGCCTGATAAAAATTATGCTAGCGTTTTTAAATTTTAACTTTTGTAAAATATGCTTGTAGACGGACTTTAAAGGGACTGAGAAGTCCCAAAATCCTGTGGATCCAAATCTATATTTTGTTTATAATTTTTATGATTTTGGAGGAAAAATAATAATCAGGCATTACGCCATGAAATACATCGTTGAAACTTGCATTTTATCAAAGAAAATTTGTAGTTTAGCTTGAATTCCAACGTTCCGTAAATGGGCATTTCCGGAAAACCATTGACGCATTTCGGGGTGATTTTTCAGCTGCCCCAGCCCCGGCTTTTGCCTTTTTGCCCCCCACCCGCCTGCCCCGATTTCTAATTAGAATGTTGATTTGGGGAGACACGTGTTTTCCCGGGGCGTTTCGTAGCCGTCATCGACTCGTCAAGCACCCGGCCACAAAATCACCCCCGCCGGAGTAGACGCGTGACACCAAAAAACGCCGACCCGGTAATTTGGGTTGGTGGGGGGGTGATCCGGGTGATTTCGCAAACGCGGAAATTAACGGGGTCCTGCTGCGTAAATTGGTGATTAGCGGAATTGAGTGGGAATTTTTGATGGGTGAAAAAGTACGCGTCTGGCGGTAATTTCAGATGGCAAATTGGCTTCTAAATGTATCGGAAACAACCGAGTATTTCGAAAATTCGGAAAGATGCAAAAACCGATTGGCCGAATTTCAATAAAAATTAAAATTTGTCTTAAGGGAATTCAAAATTTCAGAAAAATTGCCTGAAAAAATCTGCTTAATATTTTACAGTATCCAGCGGGTATTAAATAGGATTTGACTATCATTTAATTATGAAAAAGCTATGGAAAAGTCGAAAAATTTCGTTTTTACCAAAAATAGAATTTAACGATTTTCAATGCTTTGAAAGTTTTTTTGCATTTAAGAGGAGCGAATGATATGCAAAGCTATATATTTAAGCTTCTTAAAACCTCGAAATTTAAATAAAAAATTATACCTGATTTTTATAAGATCCCTCTCCCCTTACGGGTCGTTGACCCCATCAATATTTGACCTATCCACCCTAGAGCTATCTACCGATTGCCCCCTCTTGCCTTTTTCTTTCCTTTCCCCCTGACCGACCTTGGCTTCGATGGTAGCCTGGTGGCTCTCGAGTTTGGCGGTGACTTCTTCAGTGGAGAGGGCAGCCTGGCCACATGATGAATGTTGAGGAGGGGATGGAGATGAGGTTGGAACAACAACTGATGATCCGGAGAGCAGGCCATCTACTGGCACGGATGATGACGCCAACGACACTGAAAAGTACCGCATTTTCAAACGGTTTAAAGGGAATTACTCGAAAAAAGTATACAAATCTGTTTAAAAAAATTCCTAAAGATTTTCTGCTACTTAGAAAACTCCCAAAAAACTCTGCTAGCCTGCTAATATTGCTTAGCTTGCCTACCTAGCTCTAGAAATCTCCAATAATCTCTGCTAGCCTGCTATGCAACCAAAAAAAATCTATAATTTCCATTTCCCTATTTTTTCTTTTTCCGGGTCCCAAATTTCCCGAAATCTTGCTGCTAGCCTGTTCTATCCCCAGAAAACAATAGTACACTACGTCATTCGAAAAATGCTATAAAAATACCGTAAGCCCTCTCTTAAAAACGCATACCCGTGACGGTGATTCCGCTATTTACCCCCCGACGCTTATGCACTTTTTTGGGCAAAATTATGGGGGGTTTTGCATGGTTTTTGCGGATTTTGCAAAAAAAGGAGCAAGACTCACTTGTGGGGCTCAACCTCGGCTGTGTTTCTTGATTTCGCTTAATCGAATCCTTGTAGCATTTCGAGCAGAGGCCCTCAGTCGCCGATGAGCCGAAGAATCCGCATCCGCCTCTGCAAAAACAATGGTAAAATGAGATTTTAAACGATTTTACCGCTTTGTATTTAGTTTTATTTAAAATCAGGTACTTTATTTTATTAATAACGCAGAAATCGCGCTAAAATACCGTTTAATAGCTTTTTAATTGCTATCAATTTGCATGTTTTCGAAAATTTAAAGCTCCCGAAAAATACAGTAAAAACCATTTTAAAGTGCCTTAAAATTGGTACAAAAATTAGCTCCAACAGGTCTCCTCAATTTGCGGAAATTTCGATCGTTTGACCCCGGAATTGCGCGTGCATACTCTGCGAAATCCGGTCTTTTCGGTCTTTGTAGAAATGGATGCCTGCCCCCCTTTGTGCTGCCAACATTTGTCGCTAGCCCTGCCCGAGCATTTGAGGACACGACCAGGGCCGACAGACAAAAGAAAGACACGCCGACACACAGGCAGACAGAACTGCTCTGCCAAGGACAGACACAGAGACACACACACAGAGGAGCGCAAAAGCTGACAAAGCCCTGGCCACTTAAAGTCCAGAAAAAGCGATAAATAAATGTGTTTTCCTTTGAATATTGAAAAACTCTATAAGAATGGCTTATCTGGGTTTATAGGGATGGAATTCGCATAAATTTCTAACGATAAAAATCGATATTTGCCAAATCCCCCAAAATATCGATCGATGATGATAATGGTAAAATACGGATTTTTGGTATTTTAAAGCTATAAGCTTTGAAGCATAGGCTTGGCAACAGTAATTCACGGCTTTCTACGCTTTTTTAGACACTTATCGATCCGGAATATCGATTGCAATAAAGGCAAAAAATTAGCATAAAGGGTTTAAAACCCAGATAAGATTGAAAGCACATCAGAGCGGCCAGATCTATCAAATTTGCATTAAATGGGGTGAGAAATCGATGGGATGTCGAAATTTCGGGAATATCGATTGATGATGACAAATCGGAAGGTAAGAAAAGAATGGAACAAGAGTTTTTAAAGCATTTAAAGTGCATGAAAACAAGCTCTAAAAACAGTATTCTCCTTACTTTATAAAATTATCGATCGTTTGTTGCAATGCTCTCTTTGGTTATTGATTTTAGACGATTTTAATGATTTTTAGAGCTCGCTTAGCTTTTAGAAGGTCTGGAAAAGTTAATAAAGATCTAGATAAACACAGTTCATTAAATTATCGATTTATCGATCTTTTTCTCTGTTCTCTCTCTCTCTCTCTCACTGTCTCTCTCACCTGCACAAGAGGGTGGCTTGGGGTTGCTGCTGTTGGTTTTCCATTTGAGAAGAGAAGGGGAGGGGGATCGTCTGAACGGATGGGAAGGCCGCCTGCAAAAAGAAAAAGGAATACCGTAACGAATACGCAATACACACAAAGAACAGTGAGAGAGAGAGAGAGGGAGAGAGAGAGAGCGGAAAAATAGAAAAATAGAACGACGACGAATGAAGGGCGGGAGGGGGAGAAAGAAGAAATTGAAAGGGAAGGGAAGGGAAGGGCGGATCTTCGCGGAAAAATTTCTCCCGAGAAATCGGGGCCTTTCCCTGATTTTTCCAGGTAATTGGGGGCGTTCATTAATGTGCGTTTGAATCAGAGATTACATACAATTTTAAAGGATTTTATTATACTGATTCTTACAGTCCGAAAAAAACGAGAAATTTCGATATTTCGAAAATTACTTGCGTCAGCTTAAAAATGATGATTTTGGCTGGGTGATTAATATGGTATCTTCAGCGGTTAAATTAAGCTGTGATAACCGCTAAAAATAAATTTGACGCAATAATAATATAGAAATTCTCTCATATCAAAAAACATCCAGAAAAATCGTTTTTCACACAAATTTCGAAATTCCGAAACGCTACCCCAATGACGAAAATCGGAATTACAACCGGAATTAGTAAATTACCGTATCCACGATATTTGCCCGGCCCAGCCGATATAACACCAATTAGGCTGCCGCCGGGTGGCTAAACAACAATAGTGTGGGCAGCCGAGTAGAGGAGCGGGTGTGTATAGGAGCCGAAGGGAATCCCCTCCGTGTAGGTGCCGGCTGGCACCGTGGCCTGTAGGGTCACCCACCCCCACAAGGGTACTACGGGTCGAATAGCGGATTTAAAGGGGCGGGACAGCAAGAATGGGGTGAAACGTCCAAAAACTGGGGATCGAGATCTGGGAGCTGGTCTCAGCTTTAGCTCCGAGCTCCGAGCCTCAAAAGCTCAAGCGGAAATAGGATTTTCGCTTGCTTTTGAGCTTAACTTCAGCAAAATGCCCCGTAATATCGAGGGCAGGCTAGCGGGGTACTTTGAAAAAGCTAGAAATCAATGTTCGATTTTTTAGAGAATTAAGGCAAACTAACAGTAATTTTTTGGGAATTTTTAGAAGCTAACATTTCTCGAAACTATGAATTCTAGAAATTAAATTCCTCTTGGGAAGGTAAGCTAGCACAGTTTAACTGGGAATGTTCTAAAATTTATATGACATTTAAGTGACCAAATCTTCGACAAAGGAATTTATAACTCAAAAAAAATGCCAAAAAGTTACCAAACCCGAACAAGAAATGCCTGAACTTCAAAATGAGGTGACTCGCCCGAATGTCCGTTCCGCCTTACACCAGATGACGCGAGAGGGAGTAATCGATTTCAGCCCGGGTTCCCGAACCTTCTGCCGCGCCATGCGTAACCCCAGGTCATGTTATCGGGTCATACACTAAGGGAATTACGTCCCATATGATAAGTACAGATGTCCGAAGTGGGGTACCGTATCTCTTGTAGTTTGTACTTTAGGGCCGTAAAAGCCGGGCAGGAAATGGAGAGATCCAGAGGGGAAAAGGGAAAAGATTGATTGACACGACGAGACGATGATGGTTGGGAAGAGAGGGCTACGAAATGCTACGCTCTACACCCCCTAGTACCCACTCAGGGCAAACGGATACATACTCCACTATCGATTGATCAATCTAGGGGGGGGTGGGGGTCATCATGATAATTCTTATAGGGGTTGAAAGGACGGGAAGTACGTCAGATGACGCAATTGGGTACTGTGGACACCTTTAAACGTTAAATTCGGAAATTCTTTAAGTTTTAAGCTACAAAACAAGTGGTTTCAACTTTGTTTTGGTGGGCCTAAAGGGGGCCCAAGAACGGATAGAAACGTCAGATGACGCAATCGGGCAACGGTGTTACCTTAAACATCTTCATACACCGGAAGGTATAACTTTTAAAGCTTAAAAGTTCACTATATATCGAAATCTGCTTGAAATCCATTGAATTTCACTCAATTTAGAGCCAAACAATACCAAAGCTAAAATATAAACTTTTGGGGGCTCGAACTTGGGTAGAAGTCAGTAGATTCACACAATTTTAATCTAAACTATGCTAAGGTGTATATAGGCCAGTAGCACAGGGTTTGGCTTCTTCTCCCTGCGGCTAGCCGGCGGCTGATATTGATAAGAAAAGATAACGTGATACCAGGAAATGGTGAAAGCGCCTCGTGATCTACTACATGAGGTATAGAAAATGGGAAAAAGCATTAAGGTATTACGGTATTAAGATCTTCAGGTTTCACGGTAATGTCGGATTTAAGGTAATTTTTCAGGTGCCGGCAACCTTAAATTTCCGGCAAACAAATCGACTCGGGACAATAGAATAGGCTTCCTAAGCTCAAGCTTTAGAAGCCAAGCCGATAAAGCGACAGCTTAAACCGGGGAACGGCTTCGAAAGCTATCCGTAAAACACGGTACCAGGAAGAGTCTAAAAGCTGGAGATTCCGAAGTTTGAGAAGCCAAGCCGCAATCCAGTAGCTGGGGATTCATCAGGCTTCTCTAGAGCTGCCGAAGCTCGTTTTCCCAGCTATCGGTAGCCAGGGGGAGCGGGAGTCAAGGAAAGCCAAGCACAGAGGCGAAAATTCCAAAGCTTTCCGAGAAGTCCAAAGAGGTCGAAGCCAAACCAAACCAAGCCAAGCCAAGCACAAGTCGAACAGACTTGATCCCCAGGTCCCATTGGACCCTGGACCAAGCCGGGAGGCTGAAATGCGGGGGGCTAGGGGAATGCAATGGCCGGGGCCGAGTCCCTATGGGAGTACTGCCAGCGTGGCTGGCTGGGAAGGAGGAGGAGGAGAACCCGTGACCCGACTGCTCAACCAGAGAGAGACGAGAGAGACACAGGCACAGAGAGATAGGCAGACAGAGAGAGAGAGAGGGTGAGGAATGGCGACAGCTGAGGGGCGGCAGACAGCTCGATATCACGCGCCCCCTTCCCTCCCTTCTCCCTCTCAATCGATCTCTCCCTCCTTTTTCTCTGGGTTCTCTCAAAGGAGGCTGCTCTCCAGTGGTTTCTGGCTTCTTTCCCGCACTGGGAATTCGGTCTGGGGGTGGAAATTTAGTGAGTGGGGGTTTTGCATTGACTATTAATGCGTGGGTCGGTTGGGCTGTCTGCATCTCTCTCTCTCGTTCTCGCTCTCTCTCGCTCTCTCTCTCTCTCTCTCTCTCTCTCTACTCACTTTCTCTCCTCACCTGAATCTCCGCCTGGAATCTGACCTTGGATCTCTGCGTGTCTGAATCTCACTTTCAGGCTCTTTGTCTGTCTGTCTGCGTCTCTATTTAGCTGTTTGGCTGTCTTTCTGTCTGCCTGTCCACCTCTAGCCATCTAGCAGACATATAAATGGATAGAAAATGATAGCAAATGTTTTTATAAGGATTTTGAAGGGTCAGCAAAGCATACCCAAGGAATCCGAAGCCTAATCGTAAGTCTAAGCCAAGCATAAGCCTAAGCCGAAGCCTATACCTAAGCAGACAGAGCCTTAGACTGAGCCTTTTAAGCCTAAACCTAAGCTTAGGTCTAAGTCCCCAGACCGAAGCTAAAGCTCTAGCAAACACCCCTATTACCCGCCAAAGATCGCAGTACCCTTTCAAAATTCCACGAACGCCACCACGAATCTTCACTTCCGATTCTGCGCCCACCCCACTGCGTCTCTCTCTAGCCCTCACTCTCTCGCCTCACCCCGCTGCGTCAATAATTTGGCCGCCTAGCTGACGACTGGGCCCTTTCCCTCCCCCTTGTCCACCCACCTCTCGGAAGTTCAACCTCCCTGATGAGGTTCCGGCTTCGGGAGAGGAACTCGACTGACTCAGGGCATTTTGAACTTTTTGTTAGCCGCCCGGATGGGAAATAGGGCATTTCCGGGGGGTTGGAGGAGGTCACATTTCCTCTACAGACTACACGGGGAGGGATTGGGAGTGAGATGGGCACTTTAGGAATTAATTAGAGTGTGAGGTTGGGAGGGGAGCATGACTTATAGGAGTCCTTGGAGGCTGACACTTCAAAATCGGCGCTTTAAACTAGTATAACTAAAATTCAAGAGACAGGAAGTTGGTATTATCGAAAATCACGAAATTTTTCGAAACAGAGATTTTTAAAAATCCTAATTTTTGTTTTATGAGATATTTTTGGCTTTAAGTAGGTAATATCATCGATTTATAAATTATCTTTAGTGTTTTCAAGCTAAAAATTTACGAATCGCAAAAATTTAACGACTTAAAATTACGGAATGGTCCGAACTTTTTGACGCATTTTGAACTATCATAGGTGCTGCTTAGAAAATCAAATTTGATTATGCCATTTCCCATGTAACGCTTTCATGCGCATTTCATAGAACCTTCTGACGCAAATCCGTGGGTTTTTCTCCCTCTCCTGAGAAATCCACCCTCATTCCCCTTGATTTGGTCATGTTCCCAGGCCAACGCTGCGTGGATCTGGCCGCTGCCGGCTGTTCCGGTGAAATTTGATCCTGCTGACCTTATTAATCCCTTTGAAAGAGAGAGAGAGAGAGAGAGAGAGAGAGAGAGAGAAGAGAGGCGAGAGGAGAGGCGAAGAGAGAGAAGGAGAGAAAACTGAATACTGTGTATTGGCTTCGGTGAATGTCTAAGCGGATAATGTCTATGAAAATTTTTAAAAGATATACGAATAGATAGACCGATAGAGAGAGAGAGTGAGAGAGAGAAAGAGAGAGAGAGAGAGAGAGAGAGAGGAGAGAGAGAGAGAGAGAGGGTGATAGTAGGGAGAGAGAGCTAGTGAAAGAAAAAGTGTTCGCACCCTAAAGCAGTTAAAATGATAAAAAATAGCTTTATAGCATTAAATTAGGCTAGCTTAAACACGCCGAAAAATCCCAGACTTCAGCGTCCCGTTAAAACAAGCCCACAGCGCCAGTATAAACGAGACAACGCGCCCCGCCGACATTACGAAGCCGTGCTGCCTGCCACACAACGCAAAACACGAATCCAGAAGCC